ATTATTTGTATCGTTAATTTAAATTCGGCACCCCATAAAACAATCGTGAAAAAATAAATTGGTTGTGCTGAAGTTTTCTTGGTACACCAATTGAGATTTAAGTCTCATTTTGTGTCATTCGGCTATTTAAGCAAAGGTGCTTTAGGAGGGGAGATTTTGTGCCTTTAGGTTCTCAAGCATTTTCATCATATTTGAATCTTTAAATAAGGCATTCCAAACTCATTGCATCCTGGTGAGCCAATTACCGAATATGGAGTTATGGATAAAAAAAAATAGTTTTAGTTTTAATGGCATATCATCATTGTACAATAGGGTCAAAAAATGATTCACTTCTAATGTATAAGTGGACTGTAGAGTAAGGGAATTTAGGTTCAAATAAAATTTTCTTTATAATGTCACATGATCAATTAAAACTCTAATATTTTCATAGAATATGGTTCAAGTAGATGATCCCTCTAGCATTACCCTATTATTAGTATTTGATTAAAAAACTTTTAGATTACCCTACAGACATTTGTTAAGTTTCTCTAACAATTAGGTACATAGTTCATGTGGATAAGCTTACAAATCATGCACCAATAGTTGAACTGTTTTAATGGATTTTGTCAGTTGGTTGTAAGGATAAATTTGCTATAAATTTTTAGGGAAGTTAAAGCTTGTTATGAGCCAAAATGTCAAACTCCGTTACTTGTTACAATCAATCTCTACAGGAAGTAATTTTCAATTCCTCGCGAGACTTGATGAATAATGTACCCAAAATCCGCTCTTGTTCTACATTTATATATGCTATGATAAGAGAAATGTTAACGAAACTCTCTCAAAAATGGGAATTTTTTTTATAGATTTTTTGTCTTCTTATGTTTTTTACGCAATGTTTTATAACATTGACACAAAAATTGACGTTAAACTGTAAGGTAATAGAGTTCATAGAGAGTCTCACCGTTGGGAAAGTCTCCTTAGCATATCTCACTATGATAAACACAAAGGTTCAATCTCCATAAAAGAGGTTTGTCTCCAAAATAACTACGGTAAAATCTCTCTAAAAGAATACTCTATAAAGGAATAAAAATCATAAAAAGTTCCAGTTCAATTTGGGACCAGTGATGTATAGAAATAAACTTCACATTGTAATACGTTATAATTTTTCTTGGTCCCATCTTAAGGAAACATGTCTCCATGTAGTAATAATTGTCAATAGGTACAAAAATATGCAATATTGCAAATAAAAGCTTAAGATGAGCTAAAATATTTCTCTAAAGTTGTTTGGGACAATGCTTTAGTTTTTTGAGTTGATGTCACGTTTGAGCTTGCTGTTACATATAGGCAGAAATAAAATACTTGGCATCCAAGAAATTAGGAAATACAACATTCATTAAGGATAAACTAGCATATGCTGCACACTTTGTGTGTTAAATTTTTTATTTATTGTTGTTTTAAATGGGAAGGAGAGAGGGAGAAAAAGAGGAACATGGAATTGGAGAGAGAAGTTTTTATTTTTATTTTTATTTTTATTCTTGAAATCAGAGAGTGTTAAGATCACATTTGGATCAAGCTTTAAATATTTTACTACCCATGATTTTATTTTGTAGTAGACTAAATTATCTTTTCACCATCTTTTAGTTGATAAAGAGAGTTTTATTAATATGCAATTTAGATAAGTCAATACATAATATTTTTTAAATACACCTCTACTAAATAATAACCTCCCTACATTTATAATTTGATCTAGTCTCGACTTTATGCCTTAATAAAAGCAAGGACGAAGCTAGGATTTTTTCACCGGTGGGCTAGCCAAAAATATACCTTAAAATGATGATCGAACTTTTTTGTCTACATAAAGTTACATTATAATCAACCCAAAAATAAAAATATTTAAGTAATAAATAAAATAATTATATGGCTTTCCATTAATTAATTTCCAACCAACTTAAATATAAGGGTTAAGTATTGATGTAGTCCCTGGGCTATCACTTTAGTGAAAATTAGGTCCCTAAATTATTTTTTCGGTAAAATAAGTCCCTAAATTCATTAAAAATTGCTAATTTCATCCCTACTATTATATTCAAAGCTATTTTATCCAATTTTTCATCAATTAGGGTTTCTGGCGGATTTTAACGAAATTGAAGCTCTTCCCGGCCTAATTGGTCATGGTCACATGTATGAAAGTTACTCTACTCATTGAGATATTTATTCCTATAAATTTTGGTAATTTTTGGAAATAGTTGGATTTTCCGACAAGTCGGGACGGCCGACCGCCACCCACGACGGCGCGTGCAGCGGCGCTGGCCAGGGGGCCGTAGATGTCATTCTTAGGCTAGATTAGATACTTTGAGTTCATTCTTGGTAATTACATGATATAAGTTGATGGTTGGAACCTGAATTCTCTGCGATATATTAATTGGTAAAAGTGTGAATCGACGATCCGACCGTTGGATCGTTACCAAAATTTAATACATTATAGTATGTAATATTTGAGGACAATAGAAACTTACAGATTAGGAATCCGATGTACGGATCTTCTTGAATTGGAATTGTAAGTTTATAAAATAAATGTTAACCGTCACTTAGTTTTGGGCAATTGATGGAGATCCGACCGTTGGATCATAATGAAATTTTAGTATGTTATTCTAGAAGTATAATGTGGTTCCTTGGAGGTTGCGGATTGGAAATCTGAGATGCGGATCTTCTGGATCGAGTTTTGTAAGGTTGTGGACCCAACCGTCAATCAATGGGTCTCAAACTATTTTAGAACGTCCTTGAGGATGTGCTTTATGTGAATTACGTATTCTATTGATAAGAGTTCTGAGATGTGATTCTATAATTGGTCACATGCGCAAATAGTTCGAGACGCCTTGATGTGCATGCTAGAGAACAATAGCGTGGACTCCAGGTGAATGAGTCTTTTCCTTTCTATCGTATGTATATATATATATATATATATATATATATATGATTGATAATTTCATAATCGTTTATAAATCGATTATTGCTTACGATTACTGTGAATGTTTTGAACTAATTATTGTGAACTACGATTGGGTTGATCCCTATTTAGAGTACGTAGGCAGTCTAACGAGACGTTAGATGCAGCCATACAATAAATGAGACTAAATAATTGAGACAATAGCCTTGTTTGGAGAATTGAGCAATGTGAAGGAGATTGATGGAAAATGTGAGATTAAACCTTATGTTTTAGTGGTTAAATGTTGATTATAAATCAATGTGTGAAGAATCGTAACATTGAAGTGAAAAATAGTTAGTATGATAGTTAATTAATCTAGTGTTTAGTTGGGCTTATTACCGATAATTATTTTTGAAGGTAATTAGTTTGGGAGTGGGGCGATACAGCTTATGCATTTTATGCCATTTGTATATATGCTATATGTTTGGAAATATCATGATATGGTCGAATTTCAGATTTACATCCTGGTATATTCACGTGTATGTTAATTGCACATAATTAAGGGTGAACGCTCTGAAATGCAAAGTTGAATTCAAGACACCCCGGTAAGTTCAGGTGAGTTATGGTATTAGTTGAAATGATTGAGTTATAACATGACTACATTTATGTTTTAGGCAACTCCGATATTGTCAAACAGGTTGCCTGTGAGTTTTATATGCCAAATGAGATTGCTTTAGTTGTACGAGATGTGTGATGAGATGTATTTAGAGCTCATAAACCTGCACTCCGGTGTTAGTGCTCCCGCCTGTGGCCAGGGCACAGTCCTTCACATGTTGTTCACCTCCCGCACCTTACGCTTACCTTAGATCCAAGGTAGGTGCATAGTCATGTCATACAGACCACTATAGGTGGTTCCAACTCGTAGGTGACCTGCGATTATTCGCACAGTCTTCACTTGATTGTAGTACTTAAGCGTATTTATTTACACCCAGTCCTGTCGTACAGACCACTTTAGGTGGTTCCGACTCGTGTGCAGGTATACTTATTGAGCTATGGATAAGTCGTACAAGTCATTAGAGGTGACTCCGACTTATGAGCTAGCATATATGATGAAATGCTAGCATATATTTATGATGAGATTTATGATGAGATGCTAGCATATATGTGATGATATATGTAATGAGATGCTAGCATATATGTGATGATATATGTAATGAGATGCTAGCATATATTTATGATGAGATATGTGATGAGATATTGATTCAACCATACATGATAGGTGGATCCGGCTAACATGCCATTTCCTATTGGTTTATTTCACCTGGGTTACTCATTCTTGTTAAGAAATTTGACGTAGCATAATCGTAAGACTATTATTTTGGTTATGGTTTTGATTTATAGTCACGCCTGTTATTTTCTGGGAAATTAAACAGGTATTACGGTGAGGGGCTACTATCTTTGGTAGTTGGAATTGGTTTGAAGAGTTTTATTTCACTCACCCACATTTTCTGTTTTTGTACTCCTCTAGGTTCTAGCAGTAGAGTTCCATATCGACGAAGATTCGTGGCACTGTTCAGCACAGATGTCTTTTATGATGGTATAATCATTATCTCTGTTAGAGTTTTGAGACTCTTGTCCCACATTGGAGAAAACAAGATTCCCAATGTCCTTTATATATGTTTTGTCCTCTACAATATTAGTTAGGTGTTGTACCACTTGGAATGGGAATTGAGGCTTGGGCTACCATTTGTGTGGATTGGGCTTAATGATTATACCATAATATTAATATTAATTAATATGAATTAATCAAGACAAAGGCCTTGGGCCTTGGGGCCTAATAATTAAAATTAATCTGATCAATTAGTTTTAATTTTTGAATTAAGTTTTTAATTAAATTTAATTCAAAACGTTTTGATTAAAGACACAACTCCTTGGAAAAAGTTGTATAACTTCAGATACATCCAAAAGGTATTTGAAGAGGTATGAAAGAGCCTATATAACTAGAGTCCTCGGTTCCATTCCAGACATCTTCTTTTCTTCCTTCTTGCTTTTGTACAAAATATCAAGAGAGTAAACACACAAAGCAAATTCGCTAGAATTCTATAATCCAGTGCGGGTTGTAGAATTACGTAGTTGAATCCTGGTCGACCAGACGTTGTTGAACCACAAGCACAAGAGTGGGACGGAAATACTGTTCGAATGACATAGCTATTATGCTAGCCTCTACCTTCTCTAATCACGTTAGTACCATTTTATTTATTTATGTATTATTGTGTAATTTTTGTTTTGCATAGCAAGTATATTTTGATTAAATAAAATATTAAAATTTCTGTTATTTTTGTTTATTTCTGAATTGTTTTCCAACAATCTCAGGCAAAGACAATCGCTACATGAGCTTGGGCAGAAAGGTGAGCAAATTAAACCTCAGTTGGTTTAGTAGATGTGGGCCTCACACCACTTTAACTCAATTCATTGACACTCTATTAAAGCGATCATTTGATAACCATTTGTTTTAGTTTTTGCATTGTAGATAAAATAAAAGTACATGGGAGAAATAAGGAATAAAGTGTGAAGGAAACACAAAATGGAAACTAATAACCAAAACATAAATCAATTTTACATTGTTTACGCTTGTTAAGTTTTTGTTTTCTTTCATGTGATCTCCTTCATTTCTTTCTTCTCCCTCCCACTACCTCCCTTTCATCCTACACCCTTCTCCGCTATTCATTTTTCTTTCTTAATTCGACATATTATGCAATCAGACTGTCAATTAAATATCGTCCATACAAAATAAGAGATTACTTGACTAAACAGCCAAACAAAATTATGTGTTTTGTTAATCCGTTTGACAAGACAACATTAGTTACAAAGTTGAAAATCTGCAGAGAGCACTCGAAGATTTTGGGGTGTGACTACATATGTTTTTGTATATTAGGGAATTTGAAAGAAGAGAAAATAATGTTGAGGCGCTTCCAGTTGGATGAACTAGTGAAGGCTACTAAGAATTTCAGCAGTGAGTGCTTGTTGGGTTCCGGTGCTTTTGCAAATGTCTTCAAGGGGACCTTTGATGATTTAGGAACCCTAGCCATTAAGCGAACCGCCAATTCATTTCATAGTGTCGAAGAATTCAGAAATGGTAAGCCTCAACCAATATAAATGTGTAAACGGTACTTAGATTCACAAAACCGACACATTTGCTTACATTTTCTAATACATGTGAGTCTCATATACAATAGTGCGGCCCAATCAAAAGTGTTGTGTCCCAATAGAATTATCAATGTGTAAGTTTGTAGTGTAGAAAGAATCAGAATTTAGTTGAATTTTAATCTGATTTCTCTGTAGTGTTTATTCCTTGAACAGAAGTGAGGTTACTTTCTAGGGTCAAGCACAGAAACCTTGTACGTTTGGTTGGATATTGTGAAGAAGGATCATCTGGTATGTAATCAACTTGTAAATGCATATTCAATTTTCCAAATTATCCCTCCTTGTATTGACAAGGAAAATTATTTCTGCACACTCTTATTCTCCTTAATTTGATTTCATAAAACTGAATGTCAGAAATGATTTGGAGAGTGTACGTAGGAGACAAAACAAGATGTGTGAAAATTAATTCCCCTTGATAAAGGCATGTATACTAGCTACTATTGTTGGATTGTGACTGGAATAGGGGCAAAAGGGGGAAAAGCGTTGATCTATGAATATGTACCCTATGGTTCTCTCCTTGATTACTTTATGGGTATGTATGTTCCTTACCAGGAAATTAAACCTACTTGTTAAGTGCTAATTATATAACCTTCCTAATTTTATGTTTGTTTTGCTTAAAATCCTGTTTAATTACCATGTAGGAAGAAAATGGAGGAGCTTAACTTGGAGGCAAAGAGTCAACATAGCCATTGGAGCAGCAAAAGGTCAGTCATCAGTGATTCAGTACTATATAATTAGTCTAAACAGATAAGTAGAACCAGTGTTTTCGATGACTGATAAGATTTTTAGTACCTACGTAACGAAGGTTAAAATCACATAAAATACTTAGAAGAGTACAAGGCAGTTGTAGTATAAATGTTCATGCAAAGTCGTTTTCCACAAAGATTATTTAAATAGTTTATGTAAAACCAATTCATAATTAATTACTTGAAAATGGAAATTGAGAAAGGTGATTCTGAATTTTTGTAATATTAAAACGAATTTTAATTAAAAACCAAATAATAAATTCAGCCAAAATTAAAAAGATAAAAGAAAACAGTCTTTAAAAACCAATTTATAAAAGCATTAGGATTCTGCTATCACCCTAACAATCCTATGTATTTTTTACCAATTACTTATGATTTACTCATGCAACTTTGAAGGTTAGGTATTCTTAATATATGTCTTACTTGGAACCTCCAACATAGAACATATATCTAACATGTAATTCGTCCGGATGTTTGGATCAAATATGAACATGAGAGACTCATTAAGTTTTGTGAAAGCCCTTTGAAAAACCATGCAATCCTTATGATGTGGTGTTCATCATGAGAAGTCAGCGTCAATTTTAGAGAACCTTCCGACCAAAATTGCTTCAAATTACTTTTGTAAAGATCCTAATGGTGATCAGGCATGAAGACAATTAGGTAGTTTAAGCATAGTGATTAATACATGCATGCATACAATCCCAAACAATTAAATAAAAACTACATATTCATGCATGCTAAGACTCAAGACTTCGCCCTAGCAAAACGGATTAGTTACGCATATTCATTTTTCCAACGCCGCTCATTGCTCCTTTATTCTATCACCAAAAATTAACCGCTTGGTGGAAGAATCTGATATTTTGACACGATCAAGCCAAGTGACTCACGAACGTCTTCTAATTGGAACTACTCCAAAATTCATTCATTTGATCACATTTTTCCCCAGAGGAAGTCGAAAGCCTTTTATTGAAAATACAACTCAAAGTATCAAAATTATTCCAAAATAAACTATTCACTCAAAAAAAATAATCAAAATAAACTAAGATTAGGGTAAAATATGTAATATAATATTGACTCATAAAAAACGTTGATAGGTTCGTCTTTTAATAAGACAAACGATTGTCTTATACAGATGAGCTGTTAATTGATTGTGTGAAATTTTGCAGGCATTGCTCATTTACATGAAGGAGTAAACCCGAACATAATCCACCGCGATATAAAGCTTAATAACATCTTGATAGGAGATGAATTTGAAGCCAAGGTTTCAGATTTTGGACTTGTTAGGTCAGGACCTACTGGGGATCAATCACATGTCAGCAGCCAAATCAAAGGAACTCCAGGATACCTAGACCATGCCTATTGTTCAAGTTTCCATTTGACGCCGTTTAGCGATGTCTATAGTTTTGGTGTGATACTTCTGCAACTTGTTTCTTCTCGGCCAGTGGTTGATTCAACCGAGCACCGCCCCAATCAACATATCTTTGACTGGGTAAACATTTCAATTATTGCTTTTCTTTCTTCTATAGAAGCAATATGTATTTGACTCTTAACTAATTTAAAATGCATAGAGGGTAATTATAAGGTACTTTAAAATCCTTCTTACTGTTGTGCCTTGGCCCGTTCGTTAGTGTGGAAATGAGATTCAGATTACAACCTCACCAAATCACACTCAGTTGAACAGAATAAAATACAAGAAATAAAGACACCGAGAAATTTACGAGGTTCGGCAAAAACCTACCTACGTCCCTAGAAAGATATTGCTCTTCATTATGAGAATAACAGTACAAGTACACATAAGTTAAATCGACATAACCCAATCCCAAATCCCTTGTACACCCACTCATAGAATTTTCCAAAAGCCTTACTCTACCCCAAGAGTTCATTCACTAGAATACTTTTCACTCTAGCTCTCTTGATTTTCTCTCAACCCATGTTCAACCTTTCCCATGGGAGAGCCGAATGCTCTCTCCACCTTGGATGATTTCCTGATGCAAACCTTCTCCCTCGACAAGCACACATAATGCAAGCATTTCCTTGCATTAAATAAAGGCCAAGCCATCATCACATTTCTTCATAATCATTAAAGCAAAAGCAGCCACCTTTTTCTATTTTCTTACAAGCATCATCATTGTGTCTTTACTCATGATGATGTCCACCAAACTTTTCTTTGTTTAGCTTACTAGCCGAAAGACATTTGGCTTGTTGTCCACTTTTGCTTTTACTTTGCAGCACTTGTCTGCAACTTTCATGCAGCCCACACTATGTGATATTTCCATCGAAAGCAAACATAGGTCACTTCATTGTTGCCAAGCATTCAATTGCCATTGAACCATTGAAATCAGCATAACACCATCAACCCATTGGTCCTGTTTCGAGTGAATACACTTGCATGTGTAAGCTGCAAATTCCCTTATGCTGATCCACCATGTGCCAAGATACCTCACACCATGAATCAACCTCATTGTCCTGTTTGAATTCAAAATGCTTGGTCATTGTTGCCAAGCAAAATTCTTGTTACCTCAGTTCCATCTGCAACTAAGGTTTATTCACCATTTCATTCAGCTTCCAGGAACTTCCACCCTACCAACTCCTGTCTCTTCAACAGGTTATCCTCATCTTCATTGTCTGCAACCCTGGAAACTCGTCCCACACTTCCGTTTCCACCAGCAATCAACCTATCGAACATCAGAAATCACCAATTGTCCACCTTGCCCCTCCTGCAAAACCCCTGCAACACTTGAAAAAACATCACCAGGAAACATTGTTGCTTCGAATAACACCTGCATACCACCATGCAACACTTGCATTAAACATTGTAAACAGGAGAGGATTGTTGCTTCGAGTACCTAGAGGGCATACTCGAAGCCTTATGCCACAAACTTGCTACAACCCGGCCTTGCACCGTAGCACTGTGGACCCTTTCCTCCGGAACTGGATCTGAACCTGTTGTCTCTCTCAGATCCTCTTTCCAATTTTCTTCCACGATTCCAACCTTGAATAGCTTAAGCAGTCTCATGCCTACCATCATTCATGGTCTCCTTTGTGTATCATTCCACACCAAAAAAGCTTGCACCTGCTCCAAACTTACTGTATCTTTCCATGCAGTAAAGTTTCATAAGGTTCTCGTACGAATCTGAAAGAAAGGTAAGAAGAAAGAGGCATTTTTCTTCTTCCTCAACACCAACTTTCGCAGTTGATCCAAGCATCCATGAACACGGCTTCCATTTCTTCAAGCTTCCATTACTCTCATTTACCAAGAGTAAAACCGCCTCTCCCATTAAACTACTCAACTAAAAATTTCATGGTGAACAACAAATCTGGACCTCCAACGAACCAAGCACCCAACGATGCTCTGATACCAATTGTTGTGCCTTGGCCCGTTCGTTAGTGCAGAAATGAGATTCAGATTACAACCTCACCAAATCACATTCAGTTGAACAGAATAAAATATAAGAAATAAAGACACCAAGAAATTTACGAGGTTCGGCAAAAACCTGCCTACGTCCCCAGAGAGATATTGCTCTTCACTATGAGAATAACAGTACAAGTACACATGAGTTAAATCGACATAACCCAATCCCAAATCCCTTGTACACCCACTCATAGAATTTTCCAAAAACTCACTCTACCCCAAGAGTTCATTCACTAGAATACTTTTCACTCTAGCTCTCTTGATTTTCTCTCAACCCATGTTCAACCTTTCCCATGGGAGAGCCGAATGCTCTCTCCACCTTGGATGCTTTCCTGATGCAAACCTTCTCCCTCGGCAAGCACACATAATGCAAGCATTTCCTTGCATTAAATAAAGGTCAAGCCATCATCACATTTCTTCATAATCATTAAAGCAAAAGCAACCACCTTTTTCTATTTTCTTACAAGCATCATCATTGTGTCTTTACTCATGATGATGTCCACCAAACTTTTCTTTGTTTAGCTTACTAGCCGAAAGGCATTTGGCTTGTTGTCCACTTTTGCTTTTACTTTGCAGCACTTGTCTACAACTTTCATGCAGCCCACACCATGTGATATTTCCATCGAAAGCAAACACAGGTCACTTCATTGTTGCCAGCTCAAAATATGAGCCAATCACAACACTTACCCTAATAGAGTAAACCAACAAGCTTTTTCGCTTATTGCACTAATAGTAATAGTGATTGCAAAAGAGTTTGCCTTTGGTTTTTGAGTTCTAGTGAACTGTTTTTCTTGAATGCAGGCAAAACCAAGCTTAGAGCGAGGCCGCATTGAGGAGATTTTAGATGCAAATCTTTTGACAGAGCCATGCAACACAGAGATGATGCTAAATATGGGGAAACTTGGCCTAAGATGTGTTGTGAAAGTGCCCAAAAACCGCCCTACAATGTCGATGGTGTGGCAAGAACTCGAAGCGGCCCTCTACTGTGCGAACAATTTCATTAGCAAACATCCTTCAAGGGGATCTCGAAGATCAGCTGGTACATCCCGCCGACCATCAGATATAGGGCTTAGAAGATCGATGGACTACGACCAGTCTCAAAACTCGGTGAGCATAGATGACATTGGATTCCAGAGGTTTCATGTCGACATAAATAGCATCTCCTTACGGAGCACAAGCTTAGGGTGTTTGGAGTTGGACGATAGCAGCATCATCGTCGACATCGAAAATTTGGAAGATATACATGAGGAATCTGTTAGAGAAAAAGAATTGAACATGTAATACATCTTTCTTCTGTGTGTGCATAATATATGAGTTTTCTAAATTGTGATATATTATCATTTCTTTAAAGAAGCACAGTACTTTTTCTATAAAGAAATTATCAACTTTTTAAATCATATTTGCAAATCATATGATGTGTTTTTAATAAGAAATAAGCATGTTAATCAACATTTAAATATTGATCCAATCATTAACAACCACGTCATTTAGTTTAAATATATGGTTTCCCTAACATCACCCTTTTACATATCACAATATTACAATACGTGACATACAAGAAAACTTATTAACATAAAACAACAGCAGCACCTCGGGAGACAAACGTGCACTAGTAGCAAAACCAAGTGTTCATGAAAAAGGTTGGAACCATTGATTAATTGGTTTATTGACCTAAACCAAATGTCCAATTGATTGAACGGATAGTTTATATTTAGAATCAAGTTTCTTCTCCATTCCATGTAAAGTTATTTAGGATCATGTAAAAAAGTTAATTTGTAAAGAAAAAAAAATCCTCAAATAAAAAAAGAAAAATTACATATTGTTCCCAAAACAAAAAACAACATATTAAGTTCCTAACGTTCTCAAATCCTATAACATGAATCAATTCTTAAAATTACCTATCATGCTCAAAATCCTATACGCATCCTTTCCAAATCAGACATCGGCATCAATGCGAATGCAGCAAGATCATTTTAGGATGAGTTGCTACTTTCGTTGTCAGCTTCGTTTGCATCTCCACAGCTTGCTATAAGGTTATCATGCATTTTCATTGCACTGTTTGAATACTCAACCAGGGATTCGAAAACCGTTGAAAACCCCGTCTGAATCTACCCACAGGAATATAAGTTATCGCCTTCTTCTTGTCTAGCTTCTTCTTCAACTGCTCCGTCATATCAGTCAAGGACTCAAGCCTATTCCTCTTATTCAGTTTTTTCAACTCTTCGTCAATCTTTGTCTTTAGTCGATGCTCCTTTCTTTGTCGATCCACCAGTGCTTGGACATCCTTCCCAAACTCTTTCATGGCACAAGTGACTGCTTCATCTGGAAGGTTATTCAGGCAAGCTAACCATTTCTTATATAGTGAAGACTTGTCGGGGGAGCCGGATCCATTTTCAGCGCCAGCAAACTTGAATATCCCACCATCAAGAGCTTTGGCGTACGCCTTCTGCGAAGATACATACGAAGCAAAGCAAGAGCACCACTTTTGAAGTTCAACTTCAAGATTAGAAGTGGCATATTGGTGTAAGTTATTGCATGACATTCCATCAGATGGAGAGTTGAGACATTTCACTTGAGACATGATTCTCTTTTGCATCTCATGAGCTTCCAACATTATCTGCGAATTTGTCATTAGGCTGCAAAAATCGAGAAAGTGATCGTTAGAACACAATTAAAAAATAGGGAGCTTTAACGAAAAGCTCCCGGTATTATTCACCTTAACGAAAAACCATAGTTTTACACTAAAAAGTCAATCCTTGTATTATTCACTTTACCCTTTATTTTGTCCTTATCGTTAAAACCCAAAATTTTCAAGCCATTTTCATTAACTTTCCTTAAAAAATATTCAGATGTCTAATGCACATTCAAAATAAGATTGTAGCATTTATCTTACCCTGGAAACAACTTAACAAGTTCTGCCTGCAACTCATCTCTAAGCTTGTGGATTTTCTTGGAGTTATACTTGATATCTGTATTAGGAATTTGAAATTTTGCTTTCCAAGTACGTTATTTTCACTCCAATTCTGTCCTTTTTCTTGAGCACATCTCCTTCTCCTCTTTGCTTTTGCAGTTGGCCGCATCTTTTCTTGGTTGTTTCCACAATCTGAATATAAAACTAAAGATGATTTGATAAAAATTGTTGTGAAACTCGAAAAATTGAATAAAAGATCAAGCTTTAGCAAAGAAATTTCAGAAACTGAACGAAAAAAAGCAATTGTCAGATTG